AGAGATAGAGAGACAAAAAGTGAAAAATCACCCCCCAGGGGGATGGCCAGCCCGCAATCCTGTCTCCTCATTCTCCTCTCAGGATTTTGGGCACACATGCACACTCCCCCAGCATGACCTTTAAGCCTCCAGGTCCAGTACTTGAACTACAGTTGACTGTGTGGAAGTCCAGTGATGTAGCCTATGCCATCTGCTGGTCCCTAAATGTGCATTAAAAAAAAAAAACTAATATTTATTGAGGACTTATTGTGCCAGGCAGCTTAAGGGTTTAGTGAATTCTTTCAACTTATTCCCTCAAAAAGCCTACGAAGTATTTTGTGACCATTATCCCTACTTTATAGATGAGAAGATTCACGCCCAGAGAGGTCAAATTCCCTGCCCAGTGTCGAACAATCGAGTGCTTCTCACTGGTTTGAGTTTTTTTGGAATCACCTGTGTTATGTTCTCTTGTAGCCTCCTCCCAAGCAGAAGGGTCCAGAAAACGCTGTGATTTCAAGTGATGCCACAACCTCAGCCTGACCCCTGGGGGCCCTGGAGAGTGCGCTGCGGCAATGTTTGCTTTCCTCCTGGCCGGGGAGGGGGCTTCCACGACCTCCTGACCAAGCATGAGCATGGGCTGGGTCTACATACAACGCACCTGCACCCCATCCCTGCTCACCGGCGGTTTCCCCGTAAATAATCTCCTGCTACCCAGAGGAGCAGGGCTGGTGTGCAGAGACTGAACCACGCACATGCAGTTGTTATCGCAGACCTTTCCTTCTTGCTTGTCTCTTCCCTTCTCTCTCAAAGAATCATTTGGACATCACGAGATCCAAGCAGCCTGTGTCCTGTATTCCCAATATAACTTTGTAGACGAGTTTCCCCAAACACCTGGGGAATTTTATCCAGGCTAAGGCGTTGAGTCAGCCTCAGCGTCGACAAAGTAGGAAGCACAGACAACAGAATGGTAAGCTTCTGCAGCCTACACGCGTTTTTTATTTATTTTTTTGGAGAGATTTTCACTATAGGGCGTGTGCGCTCGCCAGACAGACAGAGACAGACATAGAGACAGAAAGCGAGAAATCACCCCCCAGGGGGGATGGTCACGCCGCAATCCCTTCTCCTCCATTCTCCTCTCGGGATCTTGGGCACGCACACACACGCGCCCAGCGTGAGTTCTAAGCCACCGGGTCCAGGATGCGAACCGCGGTCGACTACGTGGGAGTCCAGCGACATAGCCATTACGCTAACTGCTGGTTCCCCACACACGTTATTGATGACGATTATAGTGGCTTTGGGTTATACAGCGCCTACCTGGCTACTAGCTCTGCTACACTGCGGTCAGTATACAAGGCCTTGGAGGAGAGGTTTGAACACTCGGCATGAGTCCAGCGTTATGGGTCACCATAAAGTTCAAGAGCCTTATTTATATAATCAGAAAAAAATATCCTTCCATCACAAGCTTCATTTAGAGATTGAACTTTGAGCCCCAGGTTCCTCCACATCTCTAAAATGTATGAATTTAAAATTTTTTGTATCATATAAACTCATATTTTCCTGTTTTTTAAATGAAATTTTTGAAGTATTCTCATATGTACATTTTATTCTATATAAATCTGTATTATGTGTATGTATATGTATGAATATATGTGTGTACATATATATGATTTATATAAAGAGAAATCGGCTGGTTGTAAGGGGTAGCTTAGCCCATGTGATTATGTATGGTCCGACAAGTTCAAAATCCATAGGATACACCAACAGCCCAGGAATTCAGGCAGGATTTCTATATTACAGTTTTAGGGCAGAATTTCTTCTTCTGGAAGTCTCAGTTTTTACACTCAAGGCCTTCAACTGATTGGATGAGACCCACTCACATTATTGTGAATACGCCCCCTCACTTAAACTGTTTTTTTTTTTTTAGTTTATTTTTATTTCTTTCATGAGAGAGCACAAAAGAAAGTCTGTGAGCAAACATGCACACGTGAGAGAAAATCAGAACTGTTGATCACACCCCTAGACCACCTTCACAGGTGCTTCCAGATCAGTGTTCAGCTGAGCAGCTGGCCACCATCCCCTAGCCAAGCTAACACCAAACTGACCACCATGGTTATTGGGAAGGGCCAGGGAGCTCAGGTATTTACAGGTAGCACCTGAATCATGGGAGAACTCGGGGAAAAGAAATGATATATCTATAATAGATACTATCTTGTGCATTTTATTATAATTCCGTATTCTCTAGGGTACATACCTATATTTCACAAATATTTTAACATTTGCAGTGTAACCTGGCGCCTTAGTCTGTTTTGGTTGCTAGGACAGAATGCTGTACACTGGCTGGCTAACAACCACAGATGTGTTTGTCACACTTCTAGAGGAAGGGAGGGTTACGACCAAAGCAGGCTCAGGGTCCCGGTTGTAGCTGGTGCCTTCTAGCTGGGCCTCCCTGTGGTGAGAGCCATAGCAACTCCCTGGGGCTCCTTCACAAGGGCTCTGATTGTTCCCGAAAAGCCTCATCACATCCCAAAGCCCCATCACCTGATACCATCCCCTGGGGCTAGACTTTCAACCCAGGAATTTTAGGGAGAGGGGAGTGTTCGCACACGCTCACTTTACTATCTACCCTTCCACCTGCAGGGCATGATGGCCCGTCCTCATCTCTGCTGACCAAACAGGCAGAGGAGGAATGAAACTCTGGGAGGTCCGCAATCAGGTAAGAGCCAAGGTGAAGGCTTGTAACCAACGTACTAAGACGATAACTGGGTAAAGGGAGATCTTGAGTGAGTGACTACTGCGAGCTATAAGCCAGGCACAGTGGGTACGAGGGCAAACGCGAACAAACGTGTCCCTGCTGTCATTACCTCAGTATTTTCGTGCGTGGGGTGAGAGGTGGGGAGGCACGTCTGGATCAGTCACACAGAGGCACATAAACTCGCCGTCGTGGTGACTTAGGGGAGACGTGGATGACAAGGAGTGGACATGGCTTGGGGCCAGTCCACGTTCCCTAAACTCCTGGGTCCTTCCCTGAGCAGATTCCTGAACCTCTCCATGTCTTGGTTTCCTCAGCTGTGAGGTGGGACAGTTACCCTCCCTACTGCGCCGGGCCGCAGTGCGGAGTGTGAATTCTTGTGTAATAAGTGCTCAGAACGGGCTGTAGCGACGACAATGAACATCAGCTGTTAGTGCCCTTGTGGTTACAGCCAGGCTGAGGTCAACGTCGGCTCTGGGTGACCGACTTGGGGAGGCGAGTGGCTACAGACCTGGTGGTTACTCTCCCCTGACCCCGCACCCCTTTGGCCTGTCCATGTCCATCCCCCAGCCTCCACAGGCTTTGCTCACCATGGTGCCGGCACCCTCAATCTTCCAAGATTGACCCTGGGCTGTTGTACTCACTGTGCCTGGTGACCCGAGAGTTCTAGCCCATGTGCTGCCCAAGGGCAGGAGTCTAGAAGCCCTGTGCCCTGCAAGGAGGAGAGCAAACCTTGCTGCAGTGCACGCCCCAGGACCCCCACGGGGCCAGGCTGAGGCGCTGCTGTCCTCTGAAATCACACCCTTGTTTGGCCCCTTCTCCTTCCTGAGCTGCCGCCCACACTGCCTCCCAGGTCTCTCCAGGAATCACTAGCTTTGGGGGAGGGCAGGTCATCAGGGAAGACTTCCTGCAGGAAGCTCAGGTTGAGCTTTGAATGGTACATTCCAGCAGGACAGCCAGAGAAAGAGTAGGCCAGGAGGAAGATGGCAGGAGGAAGGGCTGCAGGTGCAAAAGCTTCTGGGAAGTCAGCACTTGAGGGATGAAGAAAAGCAGAAGCCAGCATGGCTAGAATCCAGGAGCACTAGGGGTGGAGGATGTGGGCCAAGGTGGGGTCGGTGGGCTCGCATTTAACCTTACAGAATTGGACCCGTGCGTGTAAAAGCAGTGGGAAGCCACAGACACAGGGGTGAGGCCTGAGGAGCACTCCACTCACAGGAGGGATGTGAGAGTCCGTGGAGGGCCACTGGGAGTTTCTGGGGTGGGCCAGGCAAGAGAAACTGTGGCCAGACCACATGTGGGCATGGGGTGGAGGAGAAAGAAGAAAAGGGACTGGGGAAAGACTTAGGCAGCAAAAAAAAAAGGGAGGGGGGAAATTATTTGATTTATTGATTGAATAATTTGACTTACTGATGGAAAATTGAGTTATTTTTATTGAAAAATGATTCAAACAATCATCTTTCAGTAAAACGTCTCTCAAAGTCTAGATTTTGAGTAGAGAAGGGCGTAGCTCATCATAAGACAGATGGTATCCATGAACGTGTTCTGGATTTGAAGGAGAGACACAGAGATCGGGCTCACATCACACCCACAACAGAACTCTACCACTAAGACAAAGTTCGGATTTTTAAAGTTTGTCATAACAAATCCAATGAAGAGGAAAATATTCTCAAATTAAAAAAAACCTTTTTATTATTGCTTTCATTGGATTCACAGACATACCGATGAAACTGAGACATGCAATCAAAAATAAATTCACAGCAGAAAGCATATACCCATTTTCGTGATATGTACATTATTTTTCAAATATAAAGATATAAATGTATACTTCTGAAATATTCTGAAAATACAATCTAAAAAGAGAGTTCTTTATCAAACATACAGAAATATGTAGTATGCTTTCAGACACAGTGGTAGTAAAAATATACACAAGCTCTATGTATGTAAACATTTTTTGAGTTGTATGAATATTGCATAGATCGCTGTGCATTTTGCATTTATAACATCATAGTTCCCCAAGGAGTTCCAATCACATAACACATGTCTTACAGTTAATCTCTAACGTATGTTTACTTTACTACTGTCCCTTTTAGTAGGTGAGAAAGTTAGGCATAAGTCACTTTTTTTAAAGTTACACCAAATATATCTATTTTTAGTTTTTGTTGTAGGGTGTCTGTGCTTGCCAGAGAGAGACAGAGAGAGAAGAGAAAGGAGAAATCACCCTCCTGGGGGATGATCATGCCACAACCCCTTCTCCATTCTCCTCTCAGGATTTTGGGCATGCATGCATGTGCACCTGGCATGATTTTCAAGCAGCCAAGTCCAGGACTCGAACCACAGTCACAGTCATGTGGAAATCCAGCACCTTAACTGCCATACCACATGCTGGCCCTCAGGAAAAACTATTTTGAGGGGCACAGTAACTTTAACCAACATTTAGCATTGCTGACGTTATGTGACCGGTATTTTCCCGACTATTACATGACAAAGCGTGGCAGTGAGTGGATTGTCACTATTACCTTGGACCCCAGGTCACTCGGCTATGGTAGGCTTTTCCTTGTTAAATGTAAACGCTCTCTTGAAAACGAAAGATTTGAATAATGAATTTGGTAGGCCAGGGGCTGGCACATTTAGTAACTGATTGACAAGTGAAATTGAACTGATTGACAAGTGCCTAGCCTCCCTTGGTAACGTAGAAGGTGCCAGAAAAAACAGGATCAGCATGAGGCCTTCTGGGTCAGTGAGGATGGTATAGACACCAGCTCAAAATGAAGATACAGTAGACCCCAGCGTGCCTTGTCTCCCAGCGCTCAGTCCACTGAGTTGGATGCGACCTGGAGAAACGCCATGTAAATACAGTGCAGCTTCTGGAACATTTGGACAGAAGACAATATAAACGCCCGGGCATAGATATTGTTAAATGAACGCTCTTGCGTGCTCTGGTTTTTGAAGTTTGTTTCCCAGCAATGCAGAAGCTGTAAGCACCTTTCTTGCCGAAGAGAAAAAGCTGCGGTTCTTCATCTTGGTTAAAAAGAAAATCTAGAAAATAAAGTATACTTCAATTATTTATCAAAATAGTGTGATCAAATGAGAGGAAAAATTAGCACAATTAACAGCTAAAATCACGCTTGTCATGGGCTCTTGCCAAAGGCGTGTCCTGCCATGATATGTGTAGGGGGAGCGGAAGGCTGGGTTTCATGATGAAGAAGGCCTTCATGGTTCTACTGGACCCCACTCTGTTGGTTGGGACACTCAGTATTTGACAAGTTTCCTAGTGATATCGGACCCTTGGAGTGGAATACTACTCATTTAGACCTCATTCAGAAATTTCAACTGTAAGTATATGCTTCTCTAAATAATCTGCCTATTGGAAAATGCCCCTTAACGTGCAGTTGGCAAATAGCGACCAGTTCTAGCAAAATTCTTAAAGGTGCTAGATGAAGTGACTAGACTTACAAAATCATCATTTCATTAAGGAAATGACGGCTTAGGGAAAAACTACAGTACACCAGTAGACCTCTGTTCATGTAAAGAAAAGAATTCAATAATAATTAAACAAGTAGAAGTTGATATCCAGATATTAAAAAAAAAAAGTTATAAAGGAGAGCTGAGAATTCCTCTATTGTTAGAAAAGGTACTCACTGGCCTACTGAAGAAGAAGCGGTACTACAGCCCGATAAATACATATTTGCCTTGCACGCCATTGCATGCTAGGAGCCAAGATCTTGGGATGAAATATATCCTCCTCTTGGTTTTTATAAAGTTTATTTTTATTTTTTTGAATTATTTTATTTAACTTTATTTTATTTATTTTAATTTGACCAGAGATGGGGAGGGAGAGAGAGAGTGAGAACAAGCTGCCAGGTCCAGGACTCAAACTTCAGTCAGCCATGTGGGAGTTCAGCGCCCTTAGCCACCATGCCACCTGCTGGCCCTTAAAGTTTTATTGAAACTTAGTCTTGGTAGACAGAATAATGGTCCTCCGAAAAATGGAGATTCCCTAAGCCCTAGATCCTGTGAATAACCTGCCTTCCATGGCAAAAGGGACAGTACTGGTGGGACTAGAGTTATGGACTTTAAGATGAGGGGATTATCCTGGACAATATCCTGGCAGGAAGATGTGGCATAGCAAGGAGAGATTTGGGGCTCAATCGGTGTTGCTGGCTTAGAGAGGGAGGGAGGAAGGTGTCAGGAACCAAGGAACATGGCCAGTCTCCAACAGCTGAGAATGGCCTTCCCTTGAAGCAGCAGTACAAGGAGGCCTTCATTCCTACAACCATAGGAACTAAATTCCAGCAACCCAGATTACAAAGGAATAAATTTGAGCCTCCAGAAAGAAACAGCCTGGCCAACGCTTCATCTGCAGCCTGTAGGAGCCAAGTGATTTGTGCTGTTGAAGCCACATTTTAATTCTTGGACACGCAACAAGAGAAGGTAAATACAGCCTACTCATTCATTTGCAAACTGGCTGTGGCAGCTTTCATGCTACTAGACAGTGTTAAGTGGCTGTGACAGAGACTCTATGGCCCTTCCAAAAAGATTGGAAAAGATTTGCCAACTGGCAAGTTTCAGAAAAAGTTTGTCAGCCCCTACTGTTCACATGCAAAACCCTTAATCAGCAGCTAGCATTTAATGAGCACTTATTGGTGCCAGACTCCAGGTAGTTATATCAATTTTCCGTGGTTTTCTATTTTTGTTCTCGTTTTAAAAATGAGAAACCTGGAGGCAGAGAGGTTGAGTAAGTGCTCAAGGTCACCCAGGGAGGCGGTGGTGAGCAGGGATTCAAGCCTAGTCTGGCTGACTTCTGAGCCTGGCTCGCCCCCACCCACCGGCCACTCGCAGCACCTTGCAGGACTTCACAATCCCAGTTGCTCACCTGAGACATCTCATCGCTGGCGGAAAGCAATAGGGAGCTCCCGGCTGGGTACCAGAATACCCAGGTGCAGCATCTCAACAGGCTCATTGTCCGTGGCCACGATGTCGTATTTGCGGATGATCTGGAACACACGTGCACAAAAAAGCAGAATTACCTTCTCATGTCCTGCCTTGGGGGAGAGCGCAGAAGTTACTTGGTGAAATGCAGTGAGGGGTTTACCCAGCAGAGAGCTAAGTGGAGCTGGAGCTCGGCTAGCCGGCGACCAATGCACATCCTCTTCCCAATGCCAAAGGGAAGATGCGCAAAAGGATTGATCTTCTTCTCTTGAAGCCAACGTTCGGGTCTAAACTGACTTGAATCTTCAAAATTGTCTTCACTGGACCCCAACACGTGGGTATTGAGCATTAACACTGTCTAAAACATACACAGAAACACAGAACATTTCAAGTAGCCAGAAGGAGATGTTCGGGTGGCAAAATTTATAAAACCAATCACTTTACACATGAAAAAATAGCCCACAAATTTATAATAATGATAGTTGCCAACATGCATTGGGTGCTTCAGATGTGCCAGGTAATGGGTCAGCAGGTGGCATGGAGGTTAAGGCACTGGATCCCACATGGTTTGCTGTATGGTTCGAGTCCTGGACCTGGCAACTAGAAAGTCATGCTGGGTGCCTGTGCATGTGTGTCCAAAATTCTAAGAAGAGAGTGGAAGAGAAGGGACTGTGGCATAGCCAGCCCCCCAGGCAGTGATTCCTTATTTTCCCCCTCACTGACTCTGAATTTCTCTGGCAAGCACAACATATCCTATAGCAAAAACTAGGGGAAAAAAAGTTGCAAGTAATACGTAGGTAAAGAACTCTAAAATTTCACATCACGTTCTCACAACAATCCTGTGCAGTCAATTCAGTTAGCATCTCCATTCTGCAGCTGAGATGTAGAGGCTGATGGAGATAATCCAAGTCATTCAAGACTATGCAGATACGAGGAGACCAAATCCGGGTCTCCGTCTCCCTAGCCATCGGCCCCAGACCTCTACTATGCAATGGGTTGACTCTGCAATGCCATCGATGTATTTCCAAAACGAATGCTCTCCCAAGAGAGAGAGATCCGAGGAATATTTGGGAAGCGTGTCTTTCCAAGTTGGGTAAGGTGTGGAATACAAGTTCTACTTACTCCTTTGGGTAAAGTGTATTCGCCCAGCACTGTCGCCTTGTCAAGAGTTCGAGTTGTAAACGGTACACTCGGCGTGAGCCTGAAAACACAAAATCAAAGATGGAAAGGGGAACGCAGACTCATCCCTATGTCCAGTGCCAAGGGAAATCAGCTTGGGTAAGATAAATGCTGTGTAGTTCATACTCAAAAGAACACAGTCAAAACTCTTCATATTGAAGTTCTGTCTCTCCCCAAATATTTTTCTCGTCTTCGTGGGTTTTTTTCTTCCTTTTATCTCACTGTGTGGGTCAAACCCCAGGGCCAGGGGCTGATCAGCAACCATTAATAGCTGTTTCCCCTTATTTCATCCAGACTTCCATGTGTATGTTTTTTACCCGGAAGCCTGGTGTTCGCTCTCTGCTTCTTCTATCGACGCGAAGCGACTCTCTTTCCTTCTAATCCTAAGATGTTATGAGCTTTGTCTCCCAGCAAGGGTGTAAAAGAATTTTCAAAGAACATCTTATACTAGAGGCTCAAAAACAAAGAGGTCTCTGTGTTTTATGGCATAAGGATAGGGTTCTTAGGCCAGCAGGTGGCCTGATGGTTACATCACTGGACTCCCACGTGATTGACTGCTGTTTGAGTCTCAGACCTGGCAACTTGAAAAATCACTCCGTGTGTGTGTGTGTGTGTGTGTGTGCACCTGGCTGCCCAAAATGGAGGGGAAGGGACTGCGGTGTGGCCGTGCCCCCCAGGAGCGAGTTTTCACTTGGCCTGTGTGTCTCCCTCCAGTGAGTGCATGCGTCCTGTGGGCAAACGCCTAAAAAAAAAAAAAAAGGCAAGCCAAAGGTTTCCTCTGCGGAGCTTTCGTCTCATGAGCTTCAGGTAGGCATTGATCTCCGTTACTGAGTACAACGTTCGTAGAGAAGGAGTAAGCACGGGGACACTGCTGTTCTGAGATTCGGCAGAATTGCCCAAATGATTTAGGACGTAAGAGACAAGGAAAATGGTCCCAAGCTTTTTCCCAGTTTGATAAAGGCTTATCATCAACAGGGGGGAGCTGTTCTATGGGAGGGGAACCCCTCGTTTTGTATTTAGGAGAATAGTTTGCCAACACTGGCTCAGACCTCTCTTCTCACCTCATAGATTCTTTCAGACAGGCCTTTAAATACGGCATGTTCCTCAGGTCTTCTGCCCGTGGTGGCCGATTCTCAGGCAAAACACTCAGGATTTCCTGACGAAGCTTTTGCTGCACTTGCGGGTTTCGGGATAAATTGTAGAGAATCCACATTAAGCTGTTTGCGGTCTGAAAGGCAAATTGGACATAGACTTGAGTTTCTGCAAATGAGAAAAAGGTGACGCCTGCCACCACACTCTGCAGACGCAGTCATGGCTCTCTTCTGCATGTCCTGGTACTTCAGTACATGACAAGTCAGATTCATTTGACAAGACATACCAGTTAAGGATAGTTTATTTGCTGCAAGAATCAAGATAGAATTTTTAAGTAATCAGCTGCAATAGAACACTTAAAATATAGTTTGTGGGGCCAGCAGGTGGTGTGGTGGTTAAGACATTGGACTCCCACATGGCCAACCATGGTTTGAGTCCCGGACCTGGAGGTTTGCTTTCTGGCTTTTTGTCTCTCTGGCGAGCACACTTATCCTATAGTAAATTTAAAAGAATAACAATAAATAAATAAAATTAAATACATAGCCCTTTAAAAAATAGAATATTTGACACAATACAGTACTTGTTGAACACAAATGAGTGTCTAAAACTGGTAACATGAGAATTAGACCCGTGGATGATGTCAGCGTCAATTTCCTGGTTGGGAGCATGTCTTATTGTTATGCAGGATGCTATCATCTTTTTCTTAGAAGCAAATGAGAATCTATGATCATCTCTAAATAAAAAGTTCAACTAAACAATTGTTTCAGGAAAAAATTAAGTAACCCGAGAGAGATAGAGACCCTGGGAGTGTTGCTAACAAGTGGCTTTGATAATATCTTTTTTTTTTTTCTGTAGCGCAAATGCATCAGAAACTGCATTTCTAGAAATTGAAAGTTCTTTTGGCCACACCCTAAAATGTGACCACAAAAATAAAGAGGCATTATCTGTACTCAGGGTTTCAGCCCTCATGGGAGAGAGCCAACACCAAAATAAGAAACTCTAGCATCCGGTGGAGTTCAGTGTTTCAAGGAAGCTGCCACCGTTTCTGACAAAGGCTCGTGGCCTTTTAAGTGGCATCTTCTCTTTCTTTTCAAAGGCAACGATAAAAGAAAGACGTATTGGCGGAAACAGCCAGTGGCTCTCTTAGTTACATGACATTCAGCCCCACAGTCATCTGCATTTGCTTTGTAGACCTTCCTTAGCGGATGTCAGCCAGATAGTCCCCTAAAAATGGCCATCGTGTCCTCCTCCTGCAGACACCAAGGCGCCGTTGCCACTGTTGTGTGTCAGTCACACAAATGAGCAAAGTGCACGATGATTTGGAGCCAAGGGTCATTTATTATTGTTGGAAGAAGATGCCTCCCAGGCAGGCTTCTTCACATCAGAGGACTGGCAGCCTCAGCTGCAAAGAAACCGTGCGCGGCATTATTGCAAGAGTCCAATTTACAAAACAGGAAGAGGGCGTAGCCACCAAATGAGATGCACTTTCAAATTTCTCTGATTTTCCAAATGTGACTTTCAGAATAGGCAGGACTAAAAAAAGAAATGGACTTAACCATATCAATGAGTCCTTTACCGCAACTACCGAATAAGGTTCCCAAGAAGCAGATAACTGTAGCTTTCACCAAAGCCATGTAAGACAGTCCGGGCCTGTGAGGGAAACTGCAGGGGCCTATTGGAGGGGAAGTGGCTGGGGAAACCTCAGGGGCATAGGCTATCCTGACTTGACCTCCGGGGAGGAGACCGATCTCCTTAACTGGCCTGCGGCTTCCACTTTTCCTCTGCTAAATCCATTCTTAATCCCCCAGAGTCTACTTTTCAAAACATAATTGATCAGATTTCTCTTGCCTAGCATGCCTCAAGAGCTTCCCATCACAGATGGAATAAAATCCACAGCCTTACAAAGGCTCAGCAGTCCCTGGGTAACATGGCGCAATGACTTCTCCAATCATAACTCAGACCACATTTGCTAGTTCTCCAGCTGCAAGCCTCTTTCTGCCCCAGGGCCTTTGCACATGCTGTTTCCGCTACTTAGAAGACGTCTGTTATCACCATAGCTGGCTCCGTTTCTTCATTCCAGAGATAACTGCAGGATCGCTTCCTCGGAGAGGGAAGAGTTCCCTCTCCCCTGCCCCACCAGCTAAGCTCTCTCTCCATTACATGACCGTGATGGTATGTCCCTGCCCAGCCTGTACCACTATCTGAAATGACCATGTTGGTTTGTTTGCACATCTACCACCTGTCTTTCCCCGCAGTGTATCAATTCCACGAGGGGGAGGGCTTTTGTGTCTGGTTCGTGATAGTCTCTCGAGACCTGGAACAGTTCTGGCACTCAGCAGTTCTTAGATTCTTTCACATATTCAGTGAGTATGCACTGGCCACTTATTCTGTGCCAAGTACAAGCCCACGTCCCAGGAATACAACACTGGGCAAGGAAGGCACTGAACTCCCGGAGTTGACTTTCCAGTTGAAAGAGACAGAAGTGAAGCTTTCCCTTTATCCTTCCGAGGAGCCTCTTGGAGTGTGTGATTCCCTAGGAAACAGCTGGAATGAAGCCCGGCTTTTAATCACCTTCTGGACTATACAGAGAAATGAGGATAGGGCTGTTCCTCTGAGGTAGAAAGTTCCAGTTTCTCGCTGGATAAGACGCACAATGAAAGGAGAAAACATGGAAACGCAACGAGCTGGCACACGCTCTGCTTGAGACTCTGAGGTGCAGGAAACGTCGGCCCTGAGAGGAGGAATGTCGGCCCTGAGAGGAGGAATGACCTACATCACTCCCAGGACAGCTCAAGACATGAATCACAGTCCATGAGGCCCACCGAGCCCCTCTGCTGCTTCGGCCGTGGGGTTCTGGCTGCACCGAGTACCTACTAGAGTATCAGCCTCTTCTGAGACAGAATTTCGGTATTTAACATGAGCTATCTCATCTGAATTAAGACTAAGCTGGACCAAACTCACTACGTTTGCAATTGTAAGCAGGAAAAATATTACTGGCCTAGAAGAGTGTGCTGCATGCAGTATTTTTACAGTGAAACTTAACAGCCACAGTTGGGCACTTTGGGGTAAGATGCGCATTGGCTTAAAATGCATGCACTTTGAAAAAAAAAAAAAAAGAAAGAAAAAGCTACATTATCTTGCTAGGGCACGGGGCTTTACTGTTTCTGGGTATTTGTCGTGGCACCCATCAGACCCTACTCTGGTTTTGTCACTGGAGCTGTGAAGTCGCCTACTATGTGCTGAAGCACCGACGGCTGTGCACAGAGCCTCCCACGCCATCTATTACAGAGATTCTCATTTTTGCTAAACGGAGGCCAGAAGGTGGCACGGTGGTAAAGGCAGTGACTGTGGTTCAAGTCCCAGACCTAGCGGCTTGAAATTCATATGAGGGGTGTGTGTAAGCCCCAAATCCCAGGAGAGTGGAGGAGAAGGGATTGCAGTGTGCCCAGCACCTGGGGGGTGAGTTCTCACTTTCCCTCTCACAGTTTCTCTCTCCAGTGAGCGCACGTGCCTTATGGCAAACACCTGAAAGAAAAAGCAAAGCTCGCCCTGCTAAGTTGCACAGGCTGCTCATTTAGCAATGACGATCCCGCCCACCCTTACCGTTTCCACAGCGGCCAGCTGGAGCTCAGTGACAGCAGCGTACAATTCTTTCTTTGAAAGCTGATTGTGGTGATAAATGTCGCAGAGGAAATCGGCACTAGGCAGCTGAGAGTATTTCTCTAACCGGTTGTTGATACAGGTCTTGACTATTAGAAAAGAGTGGAAGAGAGGAAGTCACTTGAAAGTTAGGACTAGGAAAGAGCAGAAGGAAACCGACATCCGATGCCTCCTCGAGATTCCAGAGGGTCTCCTAGACACACCCACAATTTGTTAAAGACACTAACATCGCCTTCACGCTAGGTTGGCAAGGACTCATCGGTGCCAAGCAGTACTGCTTCTCAAACTCAAGCACGGAGTGGAAGCAAAGGCGCATCTCCTTAAAAAGCAGAAGCTGGATCAGGCACTGGGTGGGGGCTGGGCGCCTGCAGAGAACTTTACCAAGCGCCCTGTGACCCTCAGGCTGCCGGTCTGCAGCTGACCTTTCAGGTAGCGAGGTCAGAGCTCTGAGAGATCGGCGTGAGAGGAAGTAGGATTGGCTCAGTGCTCGGAGCCACGTGTCAGCAGACACGCCCACCCTGCACACACGTGCGTGCTGCCGATCATGGTTGCACTTTCTAGCAGTGAGAAACACTGTCTAGGCTTGCGGCTCCTTCACTTCAGTCTGTTATGCAAACAACCACCAGGTGAATCGTGCGACGCTCATGGCGGTGACAATGAGGATCATACAGGGTGCAGCTGGTAGAGGCTGGGTCCTGGACTCCTGCCTGGCTGCCCATGCTGGCTCTGCCACCACTTTGCACGGAAACTCAGGGAAGTTACTTCCGTGGGCCTCTGGGACGTCACCCAGGGCTTTATTTCACAGGCTTGGGGGGAGGATGAAGTGAGCGTATGCATGAACATACCTAGCACCAGATAGCCCCTCCAGCATGTGCCAGAAAGAGCTCCAACTCCCTGAGGTAGTGTTTTTATCTCATCTATATTAGACCCAGACAGTCGCCCGGAGGTAGGTTTTATTATGATTATTAGTCCATTTTAGAGATAAGACAACTAAAGATGAAACAGTAACAGTCTCTTTGGCCAAGTCACTACAGCCAGTGACAGAGCTCAGCTTGAACCCAGGGTATCTGACTCTGAAGCTCTTGTTTTAACGACCCCCCAGTTCCCAAAGAAGGAAGAGTGCAGAAAGCTGCCTCCTGCCCCTCACTTAGACTCCATCCACACCAGGGTGAGTCCCAGACTCCTGTGTTTGCAAAGCTTGAATGCACCAGGAGTCCCACTCCACGACAGGGCCAAGGGGGTTTAGCCAAGATGGCCCCAGAACCTCCGTCGGTAGCACCAGAGGCGGGGTGCGAGGGCAATCCTTGTACCTGATTTGAAAATGGTGTCCCAGGCCAGAGTGTGGTCCTGCCAGATCTTCGTGTTGAGGCGCTTGTGCAGCTCCACAGGGGTGACCATCATCTTCCCAAATGTGCTCATCATCTGTGGGAGACACAAATGCCGTTTCATCCCCAGTTCTCCTCCTCTCAAAGTCAACTTCTGTTCTGGAAGAGGGGTGTCCTCACCACGGCACCCTGAGCTTTCTGAAATCCTCCATTCAAAGGACACCCTCGGTCCTGTCCACACTCATCCTGAGAGCAACATCTACACCCAGCCCTGATGAAATGTGGAAAATAACCTTCAAGGTGCTTTTCTGCTGGATATGTTTAATAAGAAAATGTGACTTTAAGACCTGATCGCCAAACAAGAAGATAAAGGGAGATCTTTGACTTTCAGATGCACTCCGACCTCTCATAGAATGTTCAGACCTCGCTCATGCCCAGACCAATGTCCCAGCGTTGACTGGATCCACGCACCTTCTGAACCATTCGAAAACTGAAAATCTGGGAGCCAGACGGTGGCCCAGGGCTAAGCAATTCTCTGCACGGCTGAGCCACATGGGAAGGTTCCAGGTTTGTGTCTGTGGACCTGAGTGTGCAGGGTCCATGTGTGCCCGGGAGTGGATGGCAGCACCAAGATTTTGTCGGAAGGGGTGTCTTTCTATCTCTACCCATATCTCTGTCCTTGTTGCTCATAGAAAAAAGAAATAAACTTCCAAAATTAAAGTCTGAAAAATTTCACTCTTTTTAGAAAGCATTTTAAATGAATTGACATTTAACTGAACTACCTATTTTAACCTTGCTTAAACAAAGATAATAGACGTAATGTGCTTCTTTCTGATCTGTGCATATACGCACATGCATACAGTAAAATATATAATGCCCGGCAACGTGAACATGTGACGATTGAAGTGAAATATCTGTGTGTACCCCTGTATGGAAAATACTGGGACACATGTCCATGTCACGTTCTGTAAAACGTGTCTGAAAAGCTGCTCTCCTAAAGGGGAGACTTACTGTCTTGATGGCCGTGATGAAGTTCAAAGCTTCATCCTCTGCATTCTTCTGAAGGAGCCCGAATCTCCTCTCATATAACACCAGGCAGATACCTGTTATTTAAAATAATCATCATGTTACCAACTCCTAGCCGCACACTGGAGTCTATGATTAGCGGGCTATTAAAGACTTGATTCTAAGTCTCGTAAAAGTGTGGTCTTTTCTAAGAAAAGACAGAAGTTCAAAAACACCGAAGAAAGGCTGAGTGTCTCAGAGGAAGGTGCATGGTCACTCATTTTTCTAGAAGGGATCTACAGGTTCGACAATACACCCCTTAGACGCGCCTGCTCAGAGATGCCCATCCTTAGCCCTGTCAGCCACGGGGAGGACACAGGCTGTGACAAGGCGCTGCTGGGTCGGGGCTGTGCTGTGCCTCTACCTCGGCTGTTTTGTTGGAGTCCTTTATTGGACGCTGCTGCCTCACACGGACAAAGGGCAGCCTTCGGAGCGCAGGAGAAGGGAATAATTGCACACTGCACTCTCCCTGTTTTCAGGCACCGCACTAGCGTTGGCTACATGCACTTCCCGTGTCATTTTCTAAAACCTTTCTAAAATGAACATCCCCAGCTCTTTATTTTGAAACCTTTTACCTGTAGAAAAAGAAAAACACCGCAATATGTGGCTGTGTCCTCTGATCTCAGATGCGGTGGTCATTCACACCTGGCTACAAGTATTTTCTCTGTGTGTGTACGCACATATGTGTATATGAGTCCCTGTGTGCTAAATAAGTTAAAAAGAATGTTCAGCTCCCACAGTGCTACACAGTTAAATGCTTTAGCAGCAACCCCCTGAGAAGAAAAACATCCTCCAACACAACCACACTGCCATAGCAGCCCTTGGCTCCCTGGCGGCCATTCCAAAATACGTTCAAAACGTTCTCCCACTGTCTTAAAAACGACCTCCTATAACTAGTTTCTTTTATGATCCAGGACCACTACCACCTCCTTTCCCTAGATAGATAATAAGCTCTCAACCTCCAGACCAGGAAACAGCCTGGGCCAGCAGGTGGTGTGGTGCTGAAGGCACTAGACTTCCACATGGCGGACTGAGGTTTGAGTCCTGGACCTCGTGGCTCGAAAATCACACCATGAGTGTGTGTATGTGTGCCCCAAATCCCAGGCGGTGAATGGAGGAGAAGGGATTGTGGTGTGGCCATCCCCGAGGGGTTATTTCTCAGTTTCTCTCTCTCTCTCTTTCAGTTTCTCCAGCAAGCATATGTACCCTATGGCAAAAATCTTAAAAAAGAAAAGAAAATGAGCTGAATGACTGTTTTAAAATCACAGGGCTCAGGAACAAGAATCAGTAAACTTAGTGTGCGTTCAGAGATTTGCCGACACCCACGTTTCCCAAAGGCCACTCCTCCTGTCAGCTTTCCAGGTCTTTCCTTACTTGTGTCTACCATGTGTGGCTCACCTCCCCTGGGAGGAGGTGAGATAGCTCTGGGAGGTACAAGAACTTTAAAATGTATATATTTTTTATTGTTATAATAATCTATTTATGGCAGTGATTCTGCTTTGATTTCATTGAAACATAAGTTTTCCTTCAAGACGAATCCAGAACCATCCCTGGAAGCATCAGGTACTGAACAGTACAGGAAGCAGGCAGCATGAACAGGGCATTTGTCAAATGCAGAATTTGGGGAGAGGACTGTTTGCCAGATGATCTTTGTTTAACAGAATGAATACTAATATTGGCACCAGCATTTGGCATAATGGCTATGTCTCTGGACTCCCATGTACTCAACCGCGATTCGAATCCTGGACCCAGTGGCTTAAACTCACACCAGGCATGTGTGCGTGTGTGCTCAAGATCCTGAGAGGAGAATGGAGGAGAAGGGATTGCGGTGTGGCCATCCCCCTGTGGGGGGTGATTTCTCACTTTCTGTTTCTCTGTCTCTGTTTTTCTGGTGAGCACATGTGCCCTATAGCAAAAACCTCTCCAAAAAAAAAATGAATACTAATATTAAGAGAACACTTTCTTTTTATGAACGCCTAGACCTCTAATCGCTAATTGGCTATCTGTAAGCATATTCTGTGGCACAGCTGCTGTTTACTACTGAGGTGCATCCCGCGGTAGCAGGGGACGAGCCCCTGGACTGTCCAGGGTTTCAGGACCACTCGGGATGGGTGGGCCACCAGCAGTGCCGCTCTCCTGCTCATGCACTCTGTCAGTGCACCTTGTAGATCAAATCCATGACATTTCGCCATCGTGCAAATGTAGCCATTCTTTTTTTCCTTTTTAAAAAAAATTGCTCTAGGGTAGGGGTGGGAGTGGGGGCGGGGTGGGAGAAAGTGAGAAACCATCCCGATGGGAATGGTCATGCCACAATCCCTTTTCCTCAATCTCTTCCTCCTCTTGAGATTTTGGGCCTGCACTGTCACCTGGAATGCTTTTCAAGCCATGAAGTCTGGGACAGAGTGTGTGGCTGGTCATGTGGGACCCTGCAGTCTAGTCAGGCTAAGAGTGGGTGAGCGAACAGCCGTGAAGAGCTTCGGTCCCCCGAGCATCGCTGCGTGCCCACTGAGGCTCCTTCCTGAGACTCAGCATGCCAGGCAATCGACCTGACCCGCCAGTGCTGAATTTTCTTTGACTTGCAACAAATGCATCAATACTCCTGAATGTGGGTTTCTTAACATACACTTTTTCCTCCTCTATAATTATTTCCTCCCTTTACTCTTTGCTTTAACACCCTTTGTGATTTCGTATTTGTGTGCATTAAGATGGCTGATCCAGAACTTTAAATGGGGTTGATCTGAGCGAGGAGGTGGGTCACTACAAAAGTCTCTAACGGGGGGTGTCCTCTCCAATCCCCCCCCATCAGCAGCCCCAGTGATTGTTCCAGGAAACCCAACCATACAGTCTCCCTTGCTAAAAATGCTACCATCACCCCTAGTTACTCTCAGGCTCACATCTAAACTCCCTTCCCAAGTTTACAGACTCCCCACAAGCTGGATCCCTTCCCCTCTTTTGTCCTTCCTGTGAGTTCTTTGCATCCCTCAACATAACATTTTCTCTTCCTTCTGCCTGGGAGATTCCTCCTCTCCTTGCTTTCTACCTGGTAGAACTCCTACCCATCCCTCAGGCATTCTGCAATGACACCACCTCCACGAAGCAGCCTGTGACCACGCCCGGTGTAGGCAGCCCTCTGGGAGTCCCCAGCACTGAGCTTCCTCAGCCAGGCCTCAGCTGCCTGCTCTTACTGCATCCCCTCGGGCAGCGAGCTCATCAAGGGAGGGCTCTGCTTTATATTCCCGGGGTGCTCCCTAAAAAGGGATGTCACCCCCCCATCTGCTCAGAACCTCCCCTGGTCCCTGGCCAAATCAAACCAAAAGCACAGGTTCTTGCTGGGCCACACTGGCTCTGCCTGGTCTGGACCTCCTCTGCCCTTGCCCTTGGTCACAGCTTCTGCACCCTCTCCCTCCTGCTCATCACGATCTGCACACACGACTGTCGCACGAGTTCCTCCAACACAGCGTTTGTGGTTCCACCTCAGGAACTTTGCACCTCCTATCTCCACACAGAGAGACCCTCTGACTGCTCCTACCCTTCCTTCTCCTCTCAAATGTCTCCGTACCAAAGAGAATCTCCCAGCACTTCAACATTCTCCCTTCATCCTTGACTCACTTCCTTGACCCCTGGGGCAGAGAAAGGATGAACACGTGCTTCCTTGTTGACTGTCACCCCTAGAGTCTAAGCTCATGAAGGCCGGGATGGTGCTTATTTCATGCACTGCTGTGTCCCTTGGACCCAGTACAGGGCCTGGACCGCAGCAGGTGTCCAATAAACATTTGTTGGACAATGCCATGGACAGCCCGCAGTGCAAGCCCAGCTGAAGCGCCTGAAGGAAACACGAAGGTGACCTCCCGGTCAGCAGTAGCACCTCATTACAGGACAATCGCGCACAGTGCATTTTAGCCTCAGAATCACTTGCAAAACCAAACAAGGCAGACTGCGAAGACAACTCACTTTCAAATGACCATTTGTTCAGCTCACTGTATAAGTCCTCGATGTGGCCTCGCTCATCACAGAGCTCGTCTAGTCTCCCCATAAAATCAGCCAAGACCTGCAAAGAAAAGAACCGCAAAAGGCGTTTTAAGATCACTGTAGGAAAACAAGCTTCAAGTTCAGCGAGCTAACCTCAGGTTTGCCACCTCCTACCGCACTGCATGGTATTACTCACTCTGAGGTCGCACCAAGTATAGCGTGTCCTTGAGATCCCACCTCACCCCGACAGCCCTGTCCTGGGTTGTTTCCTGAACTTTTCCTGCCTTCGCCCTGAAGGTCAAGTTCCAGCTTTTGATCTAAAATGCTTCTGGCAGTTTAAGGAGAGGAAAATATTTCTTCTAATCAGAATGGGGGAAGAAACCACAGGGGAGGAATCTACCAGGGGGCCATGCAGGCTCCGATCTCCAGGACCCTCCAGGACCGGGAGGCTGCAGCGAATACCTGGGGTTTGCACTTCCATATGCGAGAATGCAAGGAGCTCTGTACTGACTGGTTGCTGGGCTAGGCATGTTGGACTTGGGACTGGGACATCTACAAATTCTGGATGCAGCTCCCTCAGTAAACAGCTCTGTGACCTCGGGACAGCCACATAGACCTCTAGAAGCCAGTTTTAGAAGACTTTTTTTTTTTTTTAAGAGAGATTTTTGTTATGGGGCACATACACTCGCCAGAGAGACAGAAAACAAGAAATCACCCGCTGGGGGCGTGGCCACGCTGCAATCCCTTCTCCTCCATTCTCCCCTTGGGATTTTGGGCACGCACACATGCGTGCCTGGTGTGAGTTTTAAGCTGCCAATCTGAGACTTGAACCAGGTCGAATATGTCGGAGTCCAGTAACATAACGATTCCACCATCTGCTGGTCCCAGGAGCCAGGGTTTTAAGATGCCTCGGGTTCTGAGGTCCTGAGGTTTGTACAGTTTCAAGCACTGTACAAAAGGCATCGGCCGACCCTTGCAGCAAACCCATGAGTCGTCAAGTTCTGTCATTAAAGCCCATTTCCCATGTAACAGATGAGGAAACTGAGGGTGGGAGAGGACCCGCCACTTGTTCTTGGACACATGGCTAATAAGTTGTCATGCTGGACCCTGGAAACAGGTGTGTGTGAGTACACGGCTCACATGTGAACCAATGAGAATGTTTCGTGTGACAACCTCGCCCATTAAAAAGTACATTGAATTTGTTACCAATGAAAATATTGATTGCAGACCCATCAGTGGTGTGGCAGTGAAGGCGGCTGGATCCCATATGGCCAACTGTGCTCTGAGTCCCAGACCTAGTAGTTTGAGAAAAATGCCAGGTATGTGTGTATGCCCACAATTACAAGGGGGAATGGAGGAGAAGAGATTGAAGCATGGCCACCCCCTCCAGGGATAATTTCTCACCCCCACCCCCATCTCTCTCCAGCAAACACTTGAGCCCTATAGCAATTTTTTTAAAAAGTTGATGTCATGTGAATTCCTGGATTTCTCACTACTTATACACGACGGTAATAACGATAACAATGACTAGGTGTGCCTACACTGGGTCTGCATTCCCATGCAGCAGTACTTTGCTGGAGCTGGGCAGCTGTCCCTGGCAGGAAGTCCTTACTGGGCCTGTCCTGGTCTTTTATATTAATTACCTGGTCCCTAGAAGCTTCTGAGTTGGCAGTCCTTCATGTATGCAATCCCATCTAGGTTCAAATCCCATTCAAGATAAACATCAAAATGAACAGGAGTAGAAAGAGATCGCTATATGCTTAAAGCCCCCTTTGCCCCCTGTTGACTAAAGGAAAACTGTCCAAATACTTTAGTGTGGCTCGAAAACTGTCAAATACTGACCCCCTCCCCACATCATGTCAGAGAAAGCCTCGCAGCGACTGCACTGGATGTCCTGTTCCATGAACAGGCCAGTCATTTCATGCCAGTGCACTTTCAGCAGGCTAGTCTCTCTACCGAATGCCTTTCCCCATCTTCTTTGACTTGCAGGCTCCTATTCATCCTGCAAAACCCAGCTCCAATGTCACAACCTAAGACTGACAGACAGTATCTCATTTCATCCTCATAGCAAACTTGTGGGGTGAGAATTGTCACTTCCATTTTGTGGATGGGAAACTGAAGCTTAGGAAGGTTAGGTGGCAGAGCAAGGTCCCATTGCTAGTGAGGAAGATCAGGGCACAAATTTGAAACTGTGGAATAACTGCCCTCTCAGTGGGATATTACTTTAAAAGAGGGTAAAGGAGGGCTTGCAGGGAAGAGGATGTGGAGTGGATGGAGAGAAAGAGAACTGCTCTCCTCCCAGATCATCCAAATTGCGTGCTTTCCCCTGTGAACTTTTTATTTATTTTATTTAAGAGAGATTTTTGCTATAGGGTGCATGTGCTGACTGGAGACAGAGAGAGACAGACAGTGAGAAATCACCTCCTCCCCAAGGGGGGGATGGCCACACTGCAATCCCTTCTCCTCTATTCTCCTCTCGAGATTTTGGGCACACATACCAGCAGGAGTTTTAAGCCACCGGGTCTGGGACTTGAAGCACGGTAAACTATGTGGGAGTCCAGCAACGTAACCATTACACCATCTACTGGTCCCCACCCCTACAAACTTTGTAGCTGTGACTTGAAGCTCCAGAAACACCCCTCTATTCCCAAGAGACCCAGAAAAACTGGCATGAGCTTGCAAACCTCATTGATCTTGCTGTCCAGCTTCATAATTTCCACTGGTTTCATTAATTTCTTTTGAAAGGCACTCCGGACCCTCTGCCAGTCTTTTCCTTCCCTGGGGTGAAAAGCAGGATTACATTCAGAGCAAAATGAAAGAAGTCAAGGGAGGGGCGGAGATGCCTGTGGTGCAACTTCACGAACCATGCAGTCAAATCCATACCAAGAACTGTGCCAAGAGATACCCAGAGAGTATGAGCCTTAGAACCTTGGGGGCTGGCTTGACAATACAGCGAGGAACACTTTTTCTTGCAGCCAGATTGCACCAGGAAGGTGAAACCCTGATAATCCAGGTTCAAGGCTTTTGAGGCACCCTTGCAGGGGCAGAGCTGGGAGGCCAGGGGCCTCAATTCCTAGGATAAGAGTGGACGTGCAAGTCCCCCTTTGCCTTTGCGGGCAACTCACATCTGTTTGAGGGAAAATCTCTTTAACTCATTGGCTTGGGCTTTGTGATCACAAAACACCTCAGGTCAGAATTTGGCCATTGTCTCCAGACAATAACACACTCAGAGTCCCTGGAGCTGCCAAGCCTGCTGTCACCATTTGCACTCTGTGTTTGCCCCAAAGCTGAGCACACAGCTGGTGACACCCATCATGCCTTAGCAGGGTTTTTTGTTTGGTTGGTTGGTTTGGTTTTTGCCTTAGGGCACATGCACTCACCAGGGAAAGACAGGAAGAAAACGTGAGAAATAACCCCTCAGGAGGGCTGGCCACACTGCAATCCCTTCTCCACCCCTTGGATTTTGGGTATGAACACACATGTGCCCAGCATTATCTTCAAGCCGCTAGGTCTGGGACTCGAACCATGATCAACCATGAGGGAGTCCAAAGCCTTAATCACCATGCCATCTGCTGGCCCTATAGTTTTTTAACTCGGGGATTACACCTTGAAAAACACATCGAGCATTTATATGTCTAAAGTGCAGCCTTGACACCCCTTCTCATCCCTCTTTTACTGATACAGCCTCTGTCCTGAAAGGAAACTCACTGTTAAAGGCAGATGTTAATTGCTGACGGCTGAGCTTATGAGTTGGTGTCAGGGGATTTTAAGACATAATTTTGTCTGTATAAAAGTTTCGCCTGACACACTGACTTCAGAGCCTCATTCTCCCTGAGCGTAACGACCACACTTTTTATAATCCCGTTTTGGCATTTCTTGGACAGAAGGGTGCAGCCCTGACCAGGTGCCAGAGAGAACGAGGTGTGGGTTGTAGCGCGCTGTCCCCTGGACCTGCTGTGCTCCGCAGAGAGCGCAGGCTTGCCCCTGCACAGGGTAGGGGCTTGGGATCAGTCTTGCACAAGGAGGTGCCAACCCTAGGAAATTCCATCTCCAGCGCTTCCCAGTTTCCAGGCGTCCCCGTCCCAGGTCTGCCCCATCCCCCGACAGGACTCACAGAATCAGCAGCCCGTAGCCCTCCTCGCGGTAGTCGCGGTAGGCTTTCCAGGGCTTGACCTCCAGCCGCTGTGGGTACGCGCTCTCGGTGCGGTACAGCGCTTCCAGCAGGCAGGGCGAGCCCAGGTGCACCGAGTCGAAGGAGCCCAGCTTCATGCGGAAAATCTTGCCATACTTCCTGTGGTACTCCGCCTGCAGCCGGCGAGCACCCGCGGGGTCAGCGCGCACCTGGGCAGCCCCGGGGCGCTCCTCACTTCTCCCGCCGCCTTCCACCCCAGGGCCAGGGGACCGTCGCTGCCCGGACACCAGAGCACACCGAGCGCCCAGCGCCCGGGCCGCGCGTCTCTGGGAGGGGTTGGAGTGCCACTGGAGACCAGGACAGGGAGGAAAAAGGGCATTGGGGCGCGACGAGATATTTACCAAGGTGTCGTGCTGTTTCTTGAGACCCCCTTTCCAGAGAATCTCCAGCAGGCTGCCCAGCAGTGGCCAATTGGTGGGGCCAGGCAGGGCGGTGGCGTTCTGCATGTCGCCCGGTGCCATCAGCGGGCAGAGGGGCACCTTGGGCGGCTGAGGGGGCGCGCCCGACGCAGACGTCACGGGTCTGGGGGGCTGCCCCAGGCTGCGCAGGTGCTGCAGGAAGGCGGCGAGGGAGCGGCTCTTGCTGATGGGGGCGCTCATGGCCGCGAGGGGGTCGTGGCGCGTGGGAAGGCACGGGGACTAGGAAGGGGAGGCTGCTAAGAGGCACTGGCGAGATTTGGGGGCTTGCCAATTCCGGGAAGGAGAGGCGAGGAGGGCCAGCAGGCGAGAGGGAGCGGGAGAAGGGGCGGGCAGCAGCAGGCACCTCGGGGAGGATGCTCCGCACTGCGCCCGCCGCAGCCTGGCAAGGCTGAAGTACCGCCGGGGTTGGCCCTGTCGGAAGAGGACAGGGAGGCCGTGGGTCCGTCCACCTGTTGGCCTGCAAGTCTGACCTCCGGGGTCTGGAGGCGTCGGGTGGAGCTGTCGCGGAGGACAGAAGAGATGCTGCAGGCGCGGCGGCTCCCTCGCGTCCTTCTCATGCTCGGGGACCATGTATTTATGGAGACAGGGCAGGCCCTGGGTGGCCAATGAGCGCACTGGGCTGGGTGGAGTGGGCCAGGCTGGCCGGGCCGGGAGGGACGCGGGACCCAGGGGGTGGGGTGGGAGTCAAAGCGGATGGAGTCAGCGAGGTGAGTGAGGGCACCCGGGCCTCGGGTGACCGGTGCGCTGCTCCCCGGGAGGTAGGGCCGCGGACTCCACCCCGGAGATAACCCCCGGGAGGGCACGCTGAGCCTGGGGTCACCGGGTGTGCGCCGAGCGCCTCCCCGCCCTCCCCGGCGCGCAGGAGCCTGCAGCTGCTGCCGGCCGGCGCTTGCACAATCGCGATGCCAGGCGGGCGAGGTCTCTGAGGGCGAGGGCGAGGGCGAGGGCGAGGGCGAGTGCGGGCCGGGAAGGCTGCCTGCGCCTCGCGGGGACCCAGGCTTTCCAGCCTGGACTGAGCTTTCCAGCCTGGACTGAGCTTTCTTTAGAGCAAGGTGGGCTTTCTGCGCCTCCCGCGGCGGGGAGGCTCGGAGGCTCGGAGTCCACGGAACGCTCCACAGAGGGGGTTTCCCCTGCTCTCTCGGGGAGAGGTACCTCCCTGGCTGCACCGTGTTTGGTTGTTAGGAAGATTAAACTGAATTAACGCATGGAAGGCGCCTCCACGGGCCTTGCCCGCAGTCAACACTCAGTAAACAGTTGTTGCTGTGGTTACCTCTTTAGGTGGTTCTGGATCGCGCCCTGAGCATGGCTTGCCACGCAGGGCCTGAACCAGCCTAGGCCACCTCCCCCGTGGCCCCCACGAGGCCCCTGCCTCTCTGTCC